CCACCAGATTGAAAGACTTCAAGATCTTCTTAAAATATCTGTGGTTCCACAAGTATTTATTTAGCTAGAAAATAATTTAGATTTACATGCCTACATAATTTTATTTTTCCTCCTTCATTATTATGGTTACCTTCCGAAAGCTGGCTCCAGCCAGCCTATTTGCAACAATTAATATTCTACTCAAACCTGGTCAGATCTGTTGGTATGTAAAAGTGTGAATTTTTTTGTTGTGGATGCAGAATGTTCTAGGAGACATATCCTAAAAATTATCTACAAAGACATTGGGTGATTGTGCCAGTAGATAACCTGCCTTTTTTCTATTCATCTGCCTGTTTCTAAATCAATGCTACTATAGTAGTCTTTTTTTAAAGGATAATTTTATGGTACATTAAATATATAATGTCAACAGTAAAGTAATTTTTACTTCCTAGTATCATTTATAGATAAAAGTAAATAAAAATTGAGATCCAGTTCATAATTTTTCACATGTTGTTTTTGTACCTGTTGGTATAATGTGTAAACTCAATATTTATATGACTTTTAGGTAGAAGACATTCCTGCACAGGTTTTTGTGTAGGTCAGAGGGCTAGTTATCCTTTCCGTTTCCTCAGTACATTTTAAAGCTCATTTTTAAAACTCATTTTCTGTGAGTTTTGGGAGCCTCTAAAAACTAGATATCATTTGAAAACAAGTGGTGGAAATTAGTGCAGATCATGTTGGAATTTAATTTATCTGAGAGGAAACAGTTGAAAAATATTAATTTTGAAAAATTCAAGAGGGGCTAATTCAATAATATTTTCATGTATTAAAAATTAATTCAGTGATATTTTATGTGATATAAACTATAGGAATGAAACTCAGTTTTTTATGTCCTGCCCTTTTTTAAAAACCATTCTGATTTAGCATTGTTTTCTAAATACTACTTTTCCCTCTGTTTATGAATATAATAAAAATGTTGCAGCAATCCATAACACCAATATTTACTTCTTCTTGAATTCTAAAACTTAATTTAATTGTGAATTTTATTATTGTTTTGGTTGTTATTATTACTGCAAAAATGGTTGTTGTGACAAATGGTAAATCTGTGTGAAATGCCTTAGCAAAGTGCTGACTCATGAAAGCCCTGAATATATGTTATTTCTTTTCTAATACATGTAAAATCATAAAAGTGTAGGAAACAAAAGTCTTGAGATTTCATTACATTGCCTCTAAACAGGCAGGACTGAATCTTAGTCACCTTCTTGATTATTTATTCGTGAATGAATAAGACTATCAAGAATGATTATATGAGGAGTCTTCAGAAAGTTCATAGAAAGATTTGTATCTTTTAATTCTATTTTTCCATGAACTTTTTGAAACCCTTGTATATAGAGGTATGCTGATAAAGTTTAACTATCAGCTTTCAAAAGGGGACAAAAGACAACGATTTTGTAGCATTTGCATACTTTCTCCTTGGCTGATTGCAGTCAACATGACATCACTGCATGTGGCTTTGGGAAGAAATGAGCAGTAGTACAGCATTATACAGTTGGCCCTCCATATCCACAGGTTCTGCATCTACAGATTCAATCAACCATGGATTGAAAATATTTGCAGGAAAAAAGCAATATAAAACATCAGTTCAACAATAAAAAATAATGCAAATAAAAACAATACAACTATTTACATATTATATACTATTATATATTAATAGTATAACAACTATTTACATATTATATACCTTGTATCAGGTGTTGAGAGAACAGAATAGTTTGGTCAGGGCCCTCGCCTTGGGTCCAGTTGGGTGTAGTTCAGCATCCTTTGTAAGCAAATTATGTGTGTGTGTGCGTGTGCATGTGCGTGTGTGTGTGGAGTTAGTGCACATGTGTGCCAGTGTATCTTTTTTGGTTTTGTTGCTATTCTTGTGTTCTTGAGAGAGAGGAGGAGTTTTAGTGAAGCAGGCGTGCAAGCTCGACCTTGGGCGTTCACCCGGCGTAGCCATGCTTTCCAGCCTGTGGCTCCAAGGACCTGTTGGCCGGTTACCTAGCTCACAGACCTGCGTGAAGGGGTTTGGTGACCTAGCCTGGCATGTGTGGGGTCTGGTGACCCAGCCTGACGTATGAAGGGTTTGTGACCTAGTCTGTCAGTGGGCTTCAGGGATTTGAGAGCTCCATACCCAGCCCTAGCTCAACAGTCAGCCCAGTCGGTGCAGGATTACCAGCAGGTAAAAGAGCCCGACAACTCTGGTGTGGTTGTGTAGCTTTACAACTGGTGTCACAAACAGTATTAAGAGTGCTACATTAGGTATAATTAATCTAGAGATGGTTTAAAGTATATGGGAGGATGTGCCTAGGTTGTAAGCAAATACTATGCCATCTTATATAAGAGATTTGAGCATCCACAGATTTTGGTATCTGTGGAGTCCTAGGAACAATCTCCATCTGATAGCGAGGGACAACTGTAGCATACTTCAACCACATATATATGATAGACATAAACTACCTCAAGAACATGGGTAATAGTAAAACAAAAATAAAAATAATTTATAAGTGACGAGTTTTTGAGTATTTACTACTTAGTATTTAATGTAATTTATTTCATTATAAGGTTATATAATTTAGCTTTAAATAATGGGTTGTAAAATTCCTGGAATTTTAGCATCTGGCTCTAAGGAACTAGTACAAGCAGTCTTTAGCACTCCCTTGCTTGTGTTGAACCTAAATCACTCCTAAAGTATAAATCAGAGATTTCTAATTCATGATCCGTGTGTGAGTTTCTAGGGGAGTGCATAAAGCCTGAAAATTTATACAAAAATTTGTACACATGTATTTTTCTGAAGAGAAATATTTGTTGAGTATCTACTGTATGTTGCCTACTGTAGTGTAAGGATTGGGGATACAGTGATGGCCAAATGCAGCACAGTCTCTGCCATCACCCTGCTAATATACTAATGGGGGAGACAGGCATTAATCAAATAATCACTCAAATTTAAAAATTGTAAATATGTTCAAGAGGTTCTTCAAAAAGTTTGTAGAATGACATGTTTTAATTCCATTTTTCTACAAAATTCTTGAAGCACCCTTGTATATCAGAGACTTTATTCAGTCTAGGGGTCAGGAAAGGCTTTTCTCAGGAAGTTATGTGTGTGTTGAGATCTTATCTAGATGAGTAGGAGGTATTAAAAAGGTAAAGATGAAAAAAGGAGTTCCAGAGAGAGGGTAGTAGTATTGCAAGGGCACTGAAGGATGTAAAAGAAGTCAGTGTAACCTTGAACATAGAGAGTCAGGATGAGAGTAGGAAATAAGAATGGAACTCATCAGACAAAGACCAACTTCTGCAGGGCCTGGTAAGTCATGGTAAGAATTTTGGTTTTGAGCTTGAAAGCACTGAGAAAACCCTGAAGACATTGAAGCAAGGGGAGTGGTCTGATAAATAAAATTTATGTTTTTGTAAAGATCATCACTCCACCTGCAAAGTAGTGAAACTATTCTAAGGGGGTTATGAGCAGGTGCACAGAAGAGGCATGGAAGTGATAATGGTAATTGGAATAGAGTGGAGGTGGTGAAAAATTATTCAGTCTTTCACCAGATTCTTATTGAACATTTATTACATGTCATTTGCTATTCTGGGTCCAGGAATTTGGCAGAAAACACGTCCAAATTTCTACTCTTGTAGTGTTTATGATCTAGTCGGGGGGACAGCAGAGATAAACAGTAAACAAGTAAGCAAAATGATTTGACACCTTTATAAGTACTGTGAGTAGGATAATGGGATCTGTGTTTTATTTGGATTGTTTTAAATTTTTTTGCTCCTCCTTTCTCATAGGGTATTTCCAAAATAATTAAGATGTGTAGTTATAGTTTTTGATTCATTAATCACAAGGCTCACTCATAGATTCACTTTTATGTAGTAGTGATAAGTTAACATTTATTAAAAGTGTATTATGAATGTCACGAAACACACAGTCTGAGGAACTGTTTTAGATTGAGAAAGACTGAAGAGACATTGTAACTAAATATAATGTATGATGCTGGAATGGATCCTGCACCAAGAGTTTTTTTAAATGCTATAAAAGATGTTACTAGCACAGTGGATAAAATTGGAATATGGATTGTAGATTAAAGTATTGTGTTTTAAATGTTCTGAATTTGATCACTGTACTGCGATTACATAAAAGAACAGCATTGCTCTTTTAATTCTCAAGTATTAAAATATATGACCTTTTGAAGTAGGTCAGAATGAAATGAAGTTTATACATGTACATACACAAAAAGAGAGAACATTAAAAATAAATGTGGCAAACCTGGGTAAAGGCCAGACAAGAATTTTCCATATTATTGTTATTTTTCTATCAATTTGAAATAATTTCAAAATAAAAATAAAAAGCAAAAAGGGTATATCGTTCACATATTGTGTAAAGCTGTTTACATGAATGGTCATTTAGTAATTCCATTTAAGCTATGAGATATTTAATTTTGCTATTCCTGTTTTATAGATGAGGAAACTAAGGCTTTAAAGGATTAGGTAATTCACGTAAATACATAACTTGAGAAAGTGGCAAAGTGGATATTTGATCTACTGCTTATGACCATTAAATCCTCGAACAAAATATTAATAGATCTTTTAAGAAATTCAGGAAAGTGATTTTAAAAACCTAATTTCTATTACAACTACCACCCTACCTCTTTCCCAGAAGTAATTCCTGGCATATTCTTCTGGTAATTTTATATGCAGTAGGAGTATGTGTATATGTGCATTCTTTAAAATAGGTGTATGATAACCATACTGTTTGCAAATTGTATCATTCTGTCTAAATCTCTTTATTGAATTACTTTTTTTGATTCCATCTTAATCTCTTTATTGAATGGCTCTGTGAAGTTGATTAATAGCAAGATGTCTTTATTTATTTAAAAATTTTTAAGAAAGCAATAGCTTTTTTCTCACCTCGGTTTGTATCAAAGAGCTACATTATATGCATTCGATATATGTATGTTAATTTTTTGGTGTTTGACTTTTGACAGGTGGTTTTGGAGTGTATGCTTAAAAAAGACCTCATTTATAATAAGGTCACTCCAACATTTCACCACTGGAAGATTGATGACAAGAAGTTTGGCCTTACTTTTCAAAGTCCTGCTGATGCTAGGGCTTTTGATAGAGGCATTCGAAGAGCTATAGAGGATATTTCTCAAGGTAGGTTTTCTTACTCTTTTTATTAATATGTTTACCAATTATATATAGTAGAGGTCTATTTCTTAAAGTTGACCCCAAATAGTTCTGCCACTTTAAGCAAATCAGCTTTTGTGATACATGACCAGGCTTTGAAAAGTTCACATTAGGTAGAAAAAAAAATAATGGGCTCCTTAGCCTATTTTATATTTGTCACATCACAGTCTGTGCCAGTTACATGTGTTATTTTGAAGAGCCCATTAACAGCAGCCTTCAGGTAACTAATATGTTTTAAAATAAGTGCTTGAAGAAGAGTGGAGCAGTAAGGTAGAGCTGTCAAAATCACTCTGAGGTATTCCACTTGTATGTATGTTATGATATCAGTCACACCCTTTTTTTGGTAATTAGATAAAGACAACTTGAAATATTCAAATATATGTAGACCTTAGTTATTCAATGACAAAATTCTTTACTTGATTTGATTTTTGAGGATCAGCAAAGACACAACCCACGCTATCCCTTTTATAAGATATGTAATCTATTAAGATGGTTAACTTTAAAGCATGCAGGTTTTGAATGCGGGAAGAATATAGTTTCATAGAAGACTAGCTTGTGCTTATTTAAACAGAAAGAAATCACATTAAAACCTATTTCTTTCCATAAAGGAAGAAATAACTAAGATTTGATTTTTTTTTCTAATTAAGAGGGAAAATTATCTCTATTAATGGAAATAACTTTCTATGTAAAGTTACTGAATCAAAATCTTAGATAGCATTATGATTTGTATATTTGAAGATGGCATTTTAATAGGACAAATTGAAGAAATTAATTGAAAATAATTATGAGACCACACGCTAGAACAGGGAAATGCTTAGTACAGATCTGTTTTGATAGTGCATGAAATTGTGGTTAAATAATTTATTTAGCTACTTTAAAAGATAAGAATGTGATAAACAAGCAATCTTTAATTTCTGATTCAGAAAAAATTACCATGAAATGATAGTCATTAGTCATTTTATCTTTATTACAAGAACCCATAAATTCTTTCCTATATCAGTGTTCTCTCAACCTGAGCTGCATATTAGTATCACCTGGGAAGTTTTTGAAGAATAAAATCACTGGTCTCAGGGGGAAGAGGATAGCAAGAAATGGGTTAATGGAAGTTAGGAAAAATAAGTTCTATTGATGTACAGTTGAGCTAGGCATCTGTAATTAACAATTTACTGCATGTTAGTTAGCAAGTGAATAGAATAGAGAAGATTGAATGTCCTCAACAGAAAGAAATGATTATGTTTTATAATGATGAGTTCGCCAGTTATCCTACTTGATCATCACACATGGTACACAGGGTATTGACATTCAACTCTGTACCCCACAAATATTCATAATCAATTATATTTCAATTTTAAAAAAAAGAATCTCTGGTCTCTACTCTAGATCAATTAAATTTTACTTTCTGGGGCGTAGAATTGAGACATCCTTATTTTTTAAAAGCTCTGAGAGGAATATGGTGAGGAAATTGTTGCTCTAGTCAAAAGATTGTGCTTTGAATTTGAAAAAAAAAAAAAATTAAAACATTGACCATGGATCCTAGGATTCAACCTAGCAGTTATTGTAGTGCAAGAAACTTCAAAAGTAAAAAATGCATGATCGGGCCGGCCCGGTGGCGCACTGGAGAGTGCGCCGCTTGGGAGCGTGGCGGTGCTCCTGCTGAGGGTTCGGATCCCATGTGGAGACCAGTTCCCACTCACTGGCTGAGCGCGGTGCAGGCGCAACACCGAGGGTTGCGATCCCATTGCCGGTCCCCGGTACGGGCACAACACCGAGGGTTGCAATCCCGTTACCAGTCAGTAAAAAAGACAAAAAGGAAAAAAAAATGCGTGATGCCCTGAGCATCATCCTACAGAGATTTTGACATCTTTTAGTTGGGGGCTATACTCTGGCATCAGTATAAGAGTATTTTCTAAAAGTTCCGCACTTGGTTCTAATTTTTAGCCAGGTTTAAAGAACCAGTGCTTTAAAGAAGAAATTATCGTCCATGGCTGTTGCATTTTATATAATTTATTTTCAAGTTTTGAATTACTTTTAAGCCCATGCTCATGTCCCATAAGTGTATACTTTTTTTTCACTAGGATCAAATAGATTGGATTTAGTGTTTTAAAAAGCAGTTTATAAGGAGGAGCTTACAAACTCCTAGCCAGGTAGAATAGACTACAGTACTCAGCCTGTCTTATTTGTGAACTTTTTTTTTTTTTTGTCTTTTTGTCTTTTTTCCGTGTCCGGCAACGGATCGCAACCCTCAGTGTTGCCCCCATACCGGACCGGGGACCGGCAACGGGATTGCAAACCTCGGTGTTGCTCCCGCGCCTCGCTCAGCCAGTGAGCGGGAACCGGTCTGTATGTGGGATCCGAACCCTCGGGTGGGAGCGCCGCCGCGCTTCCCAAGTGGCACACTATCCAGTGCGCCACCGGGCCGGCCCTATTTGTGAACGTTTTTTAAACATACTGGTTAGCATCATTATCAGCTGCAGTGTAGACTTTCAACAATCCTATTAAATTTCTTTTACTTAGTGTTTTATGCTATACTAAGAAAAGACTATGCTCTTCTTTCCAAAGGGCAAATTTCTCCTTATCTCATGCCTACTTCATGTTAGGTATGTGTCTCAGGGTAGCATAAACTCAGAATACTTTGCTAGGACAAATGCATTTTTATTAATTTATAGGAATCTAAAGGTACTTTTGAACACAATGAAAACCTATACAGAGACATTGATGCATAAAAGTCAGTGGCAACAATTGGCCATTGACTACCAATATTGGATTAAGACTCATTTTCTTTCTGAACTAAAGCAGCTAAAATACTGGTTCTGGGTACCAAATACTCTTTCCTGGGTCAGAGCATTTAGAAAAATTGAATAAATCACATGTTGGGATAACCTAAACAACGAAGAGTGTGATGCATATAATGTGCCCAGCGTTTTGAGTATTTGGGAAGAATTAGGGTAGGGCTTGCTAGAGGTGGTATGCTTTCAGAGAAAACAACTCTTTAATAAGTAACTGGAAATTTACCTGTAGAAGAGGGAAATAATCACTTTATTCTAACAAAGGAGCAAAAACAATTGGCTAATGTCTGACTGATTGTCAGGCAGCCCAGAATGATCTCTGAATAATAACACTCTTCTAAAGTGTTGTAATGACATAATCAGTTAGCCATTAATACTAAAATCTGAAACAAAAATTCTGTGCTTAATTAACTTTTTTTTTTTTTAGGATGCCCAGCATCAAAAAATGAAGCTGAAGGAGAAGATGACTTACAAGTAAGTAGTTTGGCTTGAAAGGAATTTCTAAAAAATAAAGGATGTAGAGGAAATCACTAGCCTCAATAATAAGCAGCTAATAAATTATGAAAATTTCCAGGACACTGTTTGTCAAGGTTTCCAGAGGAATAGAACTAATATATAGAGAGAAAGTGTTTTTGTTTCATTTTGATTTTTTTTAAAGGAATTGGCTCACAAAATTGCAAGGGTTGGCAAGTCTGAACTCCACAGGGCAGGTGGACAGGCAGGCATGCTAAAAATTGCATGAGTTGATGTTGCAGTCTTAAGTTGAAAGGCAGTCTCCAGGCAGAATTTCTTCCTCTTCAGAGGACCTCAGTCTTTTCTTTTAAGGCCTTCAACTGATTGGATGAGGCTATCTACATCATGGAGGGAAATCTCCTTTACTATCTACTGATTTAAATGTTAGTCACATCTAAAAATACCTTCACAGCAACATTTAGACTAATGTTTGACCAAACAACTGGGTACCATAGCCTAGCCAAATTGACACATAAAATTAACCATCAGAGATATCCCATCCCCCAGAAGAAAAATAGGCAAGATTCTTATGTAAAAAATTCAAGGAAAAGGAATTATAAATTGCTAATAAGCATATGGGGACACTATTGTGTTATAGCTTACTGGTAATCAGCAGGTAGTATACATAAAAGTAAATTAACATTTTTTTTTTATTAGCAGCTGTCTGGTATATGGATCTAAATTTTTGACCAAATTAGCATTTTTAATTACCAAATGATCAAAGGTTTAAAAAAAGGATACCACCCTATGTTGCATGTGTCTGTGAGACTGACATATCGATGCTTTGCTGGAGAAAATGTATATTGGTGCATTTTTCCCCTAGAAAACAGTTTGGCAATATGTATTAAAAAGCCTTTAAAATAGAGAGGTGACTGGTTAGCTCAGTTAGTTAGATCTCAGTATTATAAAAACTGAGGTTTGGATTCCCATACCAGGCAGCCACCCCTGCAAAAAGAAATACTCTTGCCTGTTGATCTAGTGATTTATTTTTCAGTAATGTTTACTAAGGAAATAGAGATGCATAAAACATTTTATACATGGATTAAGTTATATATATATAATTATATATATTATTTGATAAAAAAAATAAGCTATCTAAATAGCTAACCATAGGACAATGATAGGAATGGTTTAATAATTTAAGGTACATCTGTCATGCAACTATTAAAACCTTTATTGTTTAAGAATTTGCTTGTAATATGGTGAGCAATAAAAACACAAAAATGGTATTGTCCTTATTACTCAGCTAAAATGCTAAATATTTGTTGGTTACCCTTGGATTGTGGGATTCTGAGCTATACAGCTTTCTTTTTAAAGCTTTTCAGTATTTTTCAAATTTCCCGTAGTATTACTATTTTTATGGTAATAGTAAAAGAACCCAAATTTATATACATGTGTTGTGTTAGTATTCCAGTATTCATATTTTTTTAGAATAGTTGTGACCTAAGGACATGGCAAGTGTTTTATGTATGTAGTTCCTTATTTTAATACTTTTTAAATTAGAAAGTATAAATATGTCTATTTTAGAAAATTTGAGTTATGTAACAGAATTTAAAGAAAAAACAAATGTGCTAATATTTATGATAACCTCCATACATATTTTAAAATATGGCTTTTGGCATATTTATCTGTATACATAAGTGCATAAACATGTGTTATGATGGTATCATTATGCCACAGTGCTTTGATCACTTAAATACATAGTAACATTTTTTTTGTCCTTCAGTATTTTTCAACTTTACAGTTTCTAATGTTTCAGTTGTATTTTTTTAATGGATGTATCATAATTACGCATCCTCTTATATATTTGAGAGTTCTTGTGTGTGTGAATGTGTTGATTTCATTGATAGTTAATTATTATTTTTAAAATACAGTGAATTGCCTTTAATTAAATATAGAAAATATGTAATACAATATAAAAATAAATATATTTTTTAGTTAAATATTTTACAAGGTTTCATTTTGTTCTGGTATCAATTAAAATGTGGGGCTGGAAATGGAAGATACACTTTTGGAATTCCTTCCTTGTGATGAAAGTAAATTTGGTTAAAATTCAATTTAAAAAAGTAGACTTTTCACATATTAACACTATGTCTTTTATTTAGTTTTAATACTCTTGATTTGGTTTCACCTAATATCTATATATAACATTATGTAAAAAACATAGTTTGCAAGATTTTGTACATATAGCAATTAATAGATATTGTAAAAACTGTTGTATGTTTTCATAATCATGTTCACTACAAGTACCATTATAAGTGAAGGCTTTGGTACAGGGTAAAAAATGTGGAGGATATGGATGAGGCATAATAAATTTATTACAGAGGCAGGCAAAATAATAAAAAGTTAGAAATAGGGAGGAGAAAGCTAGTAAAGGAGATTATTGTATAGCAAATGCAGCAAGAGTAATTATTCTATTGTTAGCTCCTTGGGATCTCTGCTTCAGTGCCCTCAGTCCAACAGTTTACACAAACATAACACACACACTCGCCTAAAGGGGTTGTTTATATCTTAGTTTCATTAAACATTAAAGTGCTTGCTTAGTTTTATATCCACAATAGAATAGAAAATTTGCAGTGTCACTGGAGAAACTAGTAATAGGCTTCAATTTAAATGTAATTTCAGTAAGTAATTTTTGTATCAAGTTTTAATTCTTATGTTTTCTTTTTTTTAATTTTGTGATGCTTTTAAAGTAGATTGACAAATATTTTTATTTTCTTCCATTTGGTGGAATGTAATCATTCCCACCCATTGAGTGTGCGCTATACTTAGTGAGTTATCTTAACAAGGAGAATGTGGTAGAAACGAGAGTGTGACTTCCACAGATAGGTCATAAAAGACATTGCAGCTTCTGTCTAGCTCCCTCTCACAGAGCACTATTTCTGGGTGATGCTCTCCTGCCATGTTATAAGGACCCTCAAGCAACCCTATGTAGGTGTCCATGTGGTAAGGAACTGAAGCCTTCAGACAGTAGCCATATGGGTTAGTCATCTTGGAAGCAGGTCATTCAGCTCCAAACAAGCCTTCAGATATCTGCACGTCCATGTGGTAAGGAACTGAAGCCTTCAGACAGTAGCCATATGGGTTAGTCATCTTGGAAGTAGGTCATTCAGCTCCAAACAAGCCTTCAGATATCTGCAGCTATTATCTTAACTGCAACTTAATGAGGGACCCTGAGCCAAAACCACCTACTTAAGCTATTCTTGAATTTGTGACCCATAGAGACTGTGAAACAATAAATGCTTGTTATATTAAGCCACTAATTTAGGGAATGATTTATTACCAATGAAGATTTCAGTACCTATAAATAGGGTGTTGCCTTAACAAATACTTTAAAATGTGGGAGTGACTTTGGACTGGACAATAAATGGGAGCTGGAAGGTCTTTGAGGAGAGTTTTTTAGTGAAGTCCTGAGGAGGCTGTTACTAGAAGCTTAAAGGTCTTTGAGCAGACTATCAGTGAGGCCTTAAATGAAAATGAAGAAAACCATATTGCAAACTGAAGAAAAAGAATTCTTTTTGTAGTGGCAGAAAGTTTAGCAACATTATCACCTGCAGTAATGTGGAAAGCAGAAAATGTACCTAATGAATTAGATTATCTAGCTAAAGAGGTTTTCTGTCAAAAGGTTAAAACTATCGTTTGGTTTCTTCTCACTGCACGAAGGTAGGGTTCCTAAACAAAAAGGAGCTAAACTTGCTGGTTTTGAAAATTCTCAGCCACTCAGTATGTCATTACTATACTAAAATTAAGAAATGCGGGCCGAGCCCGTGGCGCACTCGGGAGAGTGCGGCGCTGGGAGCGCAGCAGTGCTCCCGCCGCGGGTTCGGATCCTATGTAGGGATGGCCAGTGCGCTCACTGGCTGAGCGCGGTGCAGCTGGTCTCAGGAAGGACAAAAAAAAAAAAAAAATTAAGAAATGGTTTCCAAAGATCATATCCAGGACCCTCTCAGACAAGCATTGTCTAAGGATGAAGCCAAGGGTGTAATGTAAATTCCTTTGTTATGATCTCAGAAAGATCTAAGGTCATACCTCAGAGAACCTTTCATTCAAAGTGCTTGGGTTTATAAGAAGCTTAAGTGTATGTCCCTTAGCAGAAGTTTAAGGTAGAGAAGAGTTTCAGAGATTTGTGAGTGTACTTTTTATCTAATGGAGCAAACCCCAATGAGATTCACAAGAGACCGACAAAGTTATCCAAAGGTTTTTCAGCCAATATAATTGTCTGGAATGCCACCAACTTGGACTGAAAAGAGGCCCTTTGGGTCCCCAAAATTCCACTGGTAGGAAGCAGGTTGAAAAACACTATGCAGATGCAAACATGAATTACCTTTTATGAAAATGGAAGGGTGATTCAGAAATCAGAACCCAGATCTCAAATGGCAGAGCCAAAAGCTGTGGGGAATTATATCCAGGTCCTCCGTTATTCTGAAGGAATTTCCAGCACTCCCACCTTGATTTCAGAATTGCTGTGGACCAGTGACCCCATTGTTCCTTTTATTTTCTCCATTTTTGAACAAGAAGATCATATAACAGCTATCCTCTGCCTGTCCTACCATTGTATTTTGGGTAAACAATCATCTCTTTAGCTCATGGGTCTTCAGATTGAGAGGAACTATATTGAAGGAACTGTACTTAAGGAACTGTACCCAAGAAGTTTCATCTGTATGTGGACCTGCATAGATGCCAACATCCTAGATTTGAAGTAGTTATTGTAAAGAGATGAGATTTTGCGGGGGAGTCTTTGGAAGAGGGTGAGTGTGTTTTGCATTTGAGAAAATGTAAGTATTTGTGTCCAAAGAGCAGCAAACTTGGTAGTTTTAGAATGTGTCCACAAACTTTTATACTCCACTTCACTGTAGTCTCATTCCCCTCTCCTTGAGTGTCGGCTGTACTTAGTGAGTCACTTTAACAAATAGAATGTAATGGAAATGATGAAGTGTGACCTTTGAGGATAGGTCATAAGA